AATGCCCAGCACAACTGAAGGATGAGAAACCTGTCACCTTGGTATCACCTCCGAGTGAAGGAATAAAGAGGTGCTAATTACCAGAGTCCCAGAACTGTCAGCCTCCGTGTCTAGGGAGGCAACACATAGCTCCATAATGGGTTATGTCACCAGCTCAGAAGCAAGTACTGTTATTAAGTGCCAAGACTTAGATCAAATTTAAGCTAGAGATGTGCTGCATCTACTAAGCTTCTGGTCTCCCTGTGGCATCAAACAAGCTGTGACCACTGTCTCGCTTCAGAAACACGCTCCCACCCCAGGATGGATTCAGAGACAGCTTGCTGGAAAATGACAATTCTGTTTAGTGGCAACTTCCAAAATGCCCATGCTGGATTTGGTTCTGCACTTGAAGGCAACCCAAGGCTTTTGAAATAGAAAGACAGGTGGAATAACGTTTTCATCACTCAGAGTCAAGCAGAAGGGGGGCTTAGACCCCAGAGACCCTCACCTTAGGCTCATGCAAGGACCATCCAGCTCTAGGTTACCAGCTACAATCCCTTAGCACTAGCTGTGATCTACACCCTGCCCCAGGGCTCCCTCCCTGTCCTCTGAAAGGTGACTATAAACCCCTGGTGAATGGAAGGCCTGGTTTCTAAAGTGCTCAAATCCTCCCAGGCCTGAGGAGCCAACCTTTAGTATCACCCACATTCAATAGCTAGTCACACAGCACAGAAGCATGGAAAGGAGAAAGGGAAATGTTCGGCCTCTCGGAAACCCCACATACCCACACTGCTATGATCAACTCCTCAGAGCAACTCTTATTCCCGTGGGCCACCAGGATGACCCTGCAGTGCTCGCTGGGATCACGCTAACAAGCGGGGGCAGATAACTAAGTGTTTCAGGTTGCATTAGCCTTGAGAAACTGAGGAGATCAAGAAGAATATGAGGTTAGTTGTCAAGTCTAATAGTGTGAGTGCTGCCAAGATTTAATCTTTGGTGAAAGAGAGGCGCAAGGACAGGAACGTGGAGAGAATAAGAGCTGCTGAGGCAGCTGTGGAGGAAAAAGCAGCACGTGCTTCTGAAGTCAAAGGGCTTCAACCCTGGTCCAGCTGCAGCTCTGAGCTGTGGCTAACAGGCTAATGTGCCTGAGGTCAGGCCACTGGGCTAGAGAATGGGGTAGGCGCAGCTAGAGAAGAGTCTGATTCTAGCTCATTCCTGAGCAATGTGACCTGTTGTCAGTACAGGGACTGTCCACAAGGTCATGAATTCCAGCTCCCTCCTTATCCCTAATGAAAAAGTAATTTTAACTTAGCAGAAGCCTTGATTGCACGAGCGAACATTCAATCCAGTTCATCTTTGTTAGGTGGCGATTTACTGGCAGCTGCATTAAAAGTCCCCTCATCTCTAATTGCAGCCTGATCGGCCCCTCGTGTCACCTGTGTTATGGCTGCCAATTAATCTCAAAGCATCAGCCAAAGCCATTTCTGAGAGACTCAAAGAAGCTGTCATTATTTTCTGGAGTTTCCTTTCCAGGGGACAGCTTCCAGCCGGCACTGAGATTAGCTGATCCAGCCACATGTTATGCCCATCAGACCTTCCAAGTGACATTAGTCAGGGATATTCATTGCCAAAGAGCTGTCTCCTTGGCCAAAAAAAAGGGACATCTACATGACAGCCTAGATGGACCTCCCTCATCTGCCTCAGGGTTTGGGACTGGTGGCCAGGTAGTGCTTGGATTACAGATTCCTGGGGTGAAATCTTGGCCCCATTGAAATCAATGGCAAGACTCCAATGGATCTCCCTGGGATCAGGACTTCACCAACAAGTGGTGTTGTTTGTCCTTGCTTATAGGAGCTAAATCTCTCTGCTGCAGCAGGCCAGCACACAGGCCAGGACTTTGCCTTGGGAGACAGGAAATACTACAGACTGTTACATCAATGCAATCGAGGGCTCCCTTTGCACGTGTGCTAGGGCAGGAAAGAAAAGAAGGTTCCCTTGTCCAGCGAGAAAAGGGCTTTGTCCCTGATTAAAAACAGACCTTCATGGCAGGATAAAGCATGGTGTGAACAGCCAGGGTAACTTTAGGAGAGCAAGAGACAGTTCTAAGAGTACAGCAGATCCAAAACTTCCCTGAAAGCTCATACCAACCTGCTTTCAGATTCACAAATGACTGGCCCCTGCTCATCTCTCTCTCATTTCCATGGCTCTGCAAATCTGGCTGTGCCAGAAGCAGGAGGGCTAGAACAGCACAACATAAGCTCGTTCAGGTGATAGAGCTGGTCTAGCCAGGTATGTGCAGTACAATGACTGCCACTGTGTGCTCAGAGTGCTTGTTTCTGCCCATTCACAATGGTGTTACACCTTAGACTTTGCTACAGTTGATTTTGTGATCACCAGTATAAGGAAGAGGAGAATCAGGCCCCCTGCATTTATCCACTTATGTCACCGCCTTCAAGAAACAGCCATCATCTTGAATGAGGAGGCCAGAGGAAGGAAGCTCACAAGTGACAGGTAATGGAGAGGACTGATGGTATGTGTTAATGCACATTCCTGTTAGATCATGGCCCCCAGTGCTAAACAAGAGATCAAGGACAATAGTGAAGGGCTGGACTCTTACTCAGGCCAGACAATCCATCGTCTGCTCCATCCTGGCCACAAGTTGACTGGGTACGTCCAAGTCCAATGGAAAAGCCTCGGTGCCTTCTGCTTCCCAAGCCTGAGCTTCTCTGGCTGCCTTGCTTGGCTGCTGCACCTTGATGTGGACAAAGGGAATCCCCAGCATTATGGCTGTTTGGGATCACCATGCAGTGGTGATACAGCGAACAGCTGGATTAATGCAGTTACTTCATGGCTTCCAAGCCAGTCAAAGGCACACTCCTTCCCCCTGGGGTTGGCTGCCCCCATGCAACTACCCTACAAACACCTTCTCGGCAATAGGTTGTTTCCGTGGTGCTTACTCTATAGCAAAGGCTGGGGGCCCCCTGACACTATGTCACTGCCCCAACCGGCCACTTGAGCTCCAAACTCCTGCTCACCTACTGTGTACATCCCTTTCCCTGTTAGGGGCAGAGGCTTTCAAGAGAACCAAGGCTGTGTAAGCCCTTCCCCACCACATCCTGATGTGGCTGCTGGCAGTCAAATGCTTAGGACAAGGAGAGAAAAGTAGATGCGTCCTTGGGCTCTTGTACAAGACACGGTCACACAAGATAGACCTGAGGATGAACAGACCATGGATGGAGTATATGAACCTCTTATACCAGGGTATACTGATATATGAATAACAAAGAGAACTACACTGAAGGAATTATTCTCCATACATTGGCTGGAAGTCCAGGGCTCACCTTACAGAAGCAAATGGATTTGCTATTGCTATCTATAGCTTGGCAGGCCTGATTATAACCTGCCCCAATGCCAAGATCCTGCCTGAATCTGATTTCTCCATGGGTGGCCTTTTGCACTCTTGTGGAGTAGACTCAGGGGATTACACAGAAGTGCAGGGCATACACCAGCATCAACCAAGTAATGTTACCATGCTGGAGAGTCTGTTACCTGCATTGGTATATTCAACCACAGTTGGTAGGTACCCATTGGTACTAAGATCCGCTGGGACGAATGCTGTGTACTTGCTGATGATGTTACATGCCTTGCTGGTATGGATGGCATTGAGCTGGTACCGCCTCCCAGACCCTGTTGGATGAGAGAAGGCAGAGTTACAATTTGCAAGGTTTCTGGGTTCAGTCTACTGCCCGGTCCCATTTTCCAGGGTCATCAGCCCAATATCCAAGCTTTAAACTCACACACAAAATAAAATAATCCCCATAATCATCGCCCTGAGAGAACTGCTCCACCAGACTAGGTTGAAGGTTTGTGCCAGTGAGAAGAAAGACTTACCCTTATATTTCTCTCAGCTGCCCACTCTTCCCTCCTTCCCCTAGTTTAATGTCTTGAAAGACCTCCCTTATTGAGTGTCCCTGCCTGAAGGCCCTGTCTCAGATATTACCGATGGACCAAGACACACTAGGGCAGGCTATGTGGGAGGGCTGTATCAGCCTTTGGTAGACATCTGCCTGAGATGGATGTGCTCAATAAAGCTGCTAGTTCTTCCTTGAGCCTTAAGGGGTATAACACAACGATCCCGTGACCAGCTGAATTGTCTTGAGTTTCTCTGTCATTGCAGTGAAAATGAGAGAGTACTCCAAGTTTGCTGGAGCTAGCACCGCTGGCCATGTCAGCAACCTTTTAAAGCGCTTGTCTGTTTCCATGTCCACCGAACTCTGCCTCTTGAAAGCGCTGAACCCACAATGCGTTGCTCTATATAGCCCCCAGGCCCCATCAGCACAATAACCACCTACAAAGTGCAGGCCGGTTCCCACAATCAACACACCTCTTTCCATCCCAGCTGGACCTTGTGTCCTGCATAGTCTGGTGACCATGTGTCCCCATGGTCCTATCTCCTACCTCAACTCACTCCCACCCCTTGGTGGCAAAGACCTCCTCGTTGTTACCCTTGGCACTATTTAGAGGTCCAAATTCCTTGCTGGTGTGCATCTATTAAAATTAGTCAAGGAGCATCAGGAATGCATTTTGTCTTCATATTTCTTTGGAAAAATAAGGGCCAGATTCTATTCCACCCATTAGGCATCTACATGTGATTCTACTGCGCCCTGTCCAAGCCCCTGAACATCTACTTTGGTAACAACAAACATCTCACCCTTTTCTTGGAGTCACAAAAAAGCAGCAGGGACAAGGACAACCTGCTTATGTTTTGTATTAACTCTTTGCCAGGGGCTCAAGCAGAATCCCACCTAGATGCCTAAGGCTACTTATGTGCCTAGGAGGTGGAAAAGAATCCTATCCTAAATGTTTTCAGCCAAATTCTATGTTGTTACAGCCCTCTCTCCTCCCCCGTGTGGGCTGCCTCTCATTATAGCTCCAGAGATGAGCATGGATACGCTCCTGACTCATGCTAAAAGCTGCCCCACGTTGATCCAAGAGTCAATAGGAACCTGCTCATTTAGGACCCAAACATGGCCAGGGGTGATGCCAGCCACATCATTCCCCCTGTATGTCTTACCCATGCTAGCGTTATGGGCTGCTGGGCTCAGGGAGATTTTGACAGCCCCATACAAATGCCCAGAGTCTTAGAGGAAAAGTAAAAGCTGAATTTGGCCCTCTGGATCTCACCCAGGAACGAGAAAGAAAAAATGGCTCCTTCTTCATCCATGAAACATCACTTGCAGCTTAAACCCAAGCGTACGTTCCCAAAGAAATGCTTTCCTCCTCTGCTCCCCACCCCCTTGTTTCCTTCAATATGGCCTCTGCACTCCTGATGTGTGGCCAGTAGCAAAAACAGTGACAAAGAAAGGAAAGAAACAACACGTCTTTACACTTTTGACCTGGCCAAAGGTAAAAAACATCAGAAATGTCACTAGGGAGCTTGTTACCAAAGGTTTTTCTTATTCAGACGTGCCCAAAACTTTCCCCTGAGAACAGACTCCCTGGGAAATCTCAACTTCCGGACACATATTTGAACAGCAACGTTTGATGTTAGATTCAAAGCCGAGCCCTGCCAGTTCCAGCTGCATTGCAGAGGAGTTGAACAGAGGGAGTTTGAGTGTTGTCTGCTTCCTGATCTGGGCTCGCAACTCAAAGTGAATAACCGCCTATACATATAATTAGCAGGCTTGTTAGGGAGGGGAGCAGGGGAGTGTGGGAAAGGGAGAAGGGAAGTTGAGAAAAGGAGAGAATTGGTGTTAACAAGCAAAAAAAGCTGTGGAAGCAGAAAGGACAGTCTAGGGAGAGAGAACGCAGACATTCTGCGTGGCCATGTTGTGTCTCCACTGTGTGACCATGTATTAACACGTTACAACTGACAGCCAGATCTCTCCATGACTGCAAACAAACAGATAAAACTGAAGCTGTTGGGACGACAAAGGCGTATAGCAGCTGGGATTTGGCCTGCGGTGCTGTCACAGGGGTCAGGGAGGACACGTGCATTACCGTGCTCGATTTCACATTCCTTCTCGGAAAGCTGCTCAAAATCCCGGATGATGGACTTGGCCGCCAGGTGGTGGAAGGTCTCATTCCACAGATCCCCTTCACTGCTCTCTTGCCTCTCTCTGTCCCGAAAAAGGGGCCGGATATCAAAGGTGATTTCCCACTGGACTGGTTCATTACTCCTTAAGCCTTTCACCACTGCCTTGCAGATGCCCCTGGGGGAGGTCAGGGACCCCCTGGCAGAGCTGACATCCAGGTCTTGGGGCTCCCAATCCGATGATGTCTCTGTTTCAAAGGTGAATGATGGGTGCTGGGCAGACTCTGAAGACAGGGAAGAGGCACTTCATTTATTAGCATCATAATGACCATGCCTATAAACAGGATCCTCTGTCACACTCACTATGCAAATCAATTGAAATCAGGCTCCTATTTCCCCTCCCAAATCAAGGCCTCTGGAATGTTTTAATGAATGTTTCCCAATTTAAATATACAAGGCCCCAATGCTATGATGAGAGGCCCAGTGTAAATTCACAGACACACACAGCAGGTTGGGCTCCTAGGCTAGTCCTCCTCCCTAGACAGACTCTGTCCATACCTGGATATCACTTACCCAGATCTCCAGGGCTTCGGCTGTCAGAGGAGGACCTCAGGGCAGAGTTGCTTTCAGCTGAACCCAGCCCCTTCCCTGGGACCATGTGCTGAAACATGTTCTGTAGCTGGGAAGAGTCTGCGTCGTGACAAAATGACATGCAGCTCTGGTGCAGCAGAGACGGCCTCTTGGCGCCCGTGCCACGTATACGCGTAGTGGAGATGTAGGGACTGGCAGTTAGCGGCTGTGAACAGAGAAAAGCCTGAGTCCAACAGGTGGTTGTGACCAATATCAGTGGCACAAAATCCTAGCAAGACAGGGATCTTGCTGGGAAGAGATGAGCATGGCAGCTGGGAAGGAAGGAAAGAAGCATAGTAAGAGACTGAGAGAGAAGTGCCTGGTGACAGACTAGACCTGTGTTCCTCAACCTTCTTAGACTCCAGGCACCCCTTGGAAAATGCTAGGTCTTAATTTTTGCTCTTTTTTTTGACTACAGAAAAATAATAGAGCAATTCTTCCATTGCAAAGAACTCAGAAAGACCCTGACAGCTGAGAAGTTAACACTATGGATTCATATTTGAAATCTCTGGGTTTATCTTGTGAATCACATATGCACACTTATCAGTGCTCACACTGCATGACACACAATGGCACTCGTAAAAGGATCTCGAGGCACCCTGGTTCAGCATCACCGGGTCAGCCAGGCAGACGGATGGAGCCTGCTGACCTCCCTGTGTTTAACCCACTCCCTTCCTGACTCAACTCACTTACTGACTCAAATATACAAAACCCTTGCGAGTGAAATAGTCTCCATGCCCTGAACTCAGCTGAAGACTTTCCCACACCAAACACTTGGGATTTTTACTACGGTAATTACCCCAGACAACTTCCCTTAACATTTCCCTCAAGGCTGGAGTGAGTCATTGAAGGAATCTGGCACCCAAGGCACAGGACCCAGGGAGAAGGTGGAATATGAATCTCATCCATACAGATCTTTTAATTACTTCACAAGGAAACTAAAAGAGAGATGAGAAAGATATGCCAGGACCCAGTTGCTTAGTAACCAAAGGCAGGCCGGGAGGCATTATTCCTCCCTAAGACAGTCTCTTCAGGGAAGAAATGCAAGGTGGAAAAAAGGCTCCAAGCTTGAGACATGGCTAAGCTGAAGGGGGCAGTTGCCAAATGGACATTTTCTCCTTGGGGCGAGGAGAGGCACAGAAATCCTGATGCTCCCTCTCCCCTTTCCTAGTCTAGTGGAAAGGTGCCTTTCCTGAAACCTGACATCTTTCTATTCACAGAAGAGGCCTGGCATGGATCTGGTGCAAAAAGCCACCGCAGGCTGCAGACCTCAATGCCAATGGAGAGAGCCCTTCTCTCAGGGAGAGGCAGGGGTTCAGTCTCTGGGACCCACTCAAGCCTTGGCCTCTCTTTTACCACTACCAGCCAAGGGGGACAGGCAGTCAGGAGAGTGGATCTGGATGGTGGAGCTGTCCACCGGGCTTGGTTTGAAGCCACCTGACGCATTCGAAACAGTCCACAGCTCTTTGACTTGCTGCCTGGCTTTAAGAGCCAGCTGTACATAAGAGGCATGCATCAACAACTGGTCTGTTCACCAGGGCAGCCCAAGGGAAAACAAGGTCTAACGGTCACAAACTGCTGGACGACTGTTTTAGACTGGACTTAAGGAAAAACCTCTTTACCATCTGAGCCCCCCGAGTCTGGAATAGACTCCCCCCCAGAAGTGGTGCAAGCACCTACTCTGGATACCTTTAAGAAATGCTTGGATGCATATCTTGCTGGGGTGATGTGACCCCAGCTGACTTCCTGCCCCTTGGGCAGATGGCTGGACCCAATGATCTTGCAAGGTCCCTTCCAGCCCTAATGTCTATGAAATCTATGAGAGAGTGCCCTTTTCTACCTTGTTGGGCTTACATGCCCTTCCTTCCTCTACCAGTCCTCTGAGGAGGGCTTACGGCCAAACCTGTCCATACCCCTAACCCTGTGGAGGTGAGAGCCTTTGGTGAGGAAGACGTGGCTTTTCCTGACCCTCCCTCGCTCTGAGTTACGGTTTCCTTCTGCCCTGTTTGACTTCTGAACCCTGAAACAGTCCCTTGGGGGGATGCCGCTTGGGCAAGGAGAACTCCTGCTCTCTGGGTACAATGGAAAGACTCTCTGTGGAAGTGAGTGTTGGCACTTTCTATCCGCCTGCTCTGCACCCTTCCCCTGAGAGACCGCAGCAGTGTGTGGTTGTGCAAAGCCGTCCATCTCAATGTGCTGACCTTTCCATTCCAGACAAGGGGGAGGAGAGAGCCACACTCTCCTCTCTGAAAATGTCAAACATTGGCAACCTGACCCTCAGCCTGAGGGGGCCCCCGGGACCCCTCGCAGTGAGAGAGACGCCAGAAAACAAGGCAGTAATTAAACTCAAGCAGAACACACTCTCCTCCTGCTGCCACTTGAAGGGGGCTGATTTCTTCTTTTCCTCCTCTAGAAACATCCTGATCCCCTCCAGAGTGCAGAAGCTGGGGCTTCCCTGCAAGGCAGGTACTGTCTGATTTAAAGATCTGGGGTAAAGATACCAGCCTCTGAGAAGTATAAATCATCCACCCCAACCTGCCTGTAGGTACCTACCTGCTAGAGATGCCTGGGCTCAGTGACATTCTGTTTGGTAGCATGCTATGATCTCCCTCGAGCAAGGATGCTGCAGTGTTTGCAGCCAATGTAATCCCTCCAGGCACTAGCTTCTACTCCCCTCGCTCTAATGCACTCTCTTCCCCAGCCTCCCCTCTCTTTCCCTCCCAGCAGCAATCCCCACTGCCCTGACCCGGAGCAGATAAGAAACCAAGTCCTCAGTTCGCAGTTGCCAAGGGAACGGAGGTGCAGTGGCAGCTGCTGCTGTCCTGATTCTGATCTGCCCCGGCACACTGCACTGCGGTTTTGAAGGAGGCCGTCTCACCCCTGCCAAACATGGAAGTGAGACCTCGGCTGAAAAGCTTCCTGGCGACATCAGGTTTCAAATGCTGGGTTCACTTCCCACCCTGGAAATCACCCTTCGGCCACAGAGTTTTCAGTCAAAGTCACCATATTTGGGTTCCTTTTTACAAGGAGGCAAGTGGCCCTCTCGTGGGTGAAGCTCAAATGGTGTTCCCATGAATGGGATGGGGAGAAGGAGCCAAAAGGCAGAGGAAAGCCACCAATGCCATCCTGTTCACATGCACGGACCCAAGTGCAGTCACAGCAGAGGTTATGGCACACAGACAAGTTACCAAGAGGTAAAATAGGGGGTGAACTTCCAGTGAGTCAGCTATTCCCGGTCAGCTGCTTGTGTGCAGCTGTATCTTACTGCACAGTAAATTATTGCACAGTAAGTGGATTTCACACCAGCATCTACACGTGCAGACATTACAGCACAGTAATGCTGTGTGTGGACTGACTTGGGACTCAAGTTAGCCCCAAGTCAGTCCACACACAGGGTTACTGCGCAACAAGGTGTCTACACGTGCCTTACTGTGCAGTAACTACTTGGGCATAAATTTGTTATCTGCATCATGTAAGTAGTAAATTTATGCCCAAGCCAGCATAAGTTGCCATAGTTATTGCACAGTATGGGCATGCACATGTAGACGTGCAGACGTACTGTGCAGTAATGTTTGATTACTGTGCAGTAACTGTGCACATGTAAATGCTCCCACTGGGGAGTAAGCTGTCCTGCATTTACCAAGATAATAGCATGTTCAGTGGCAGATACCATGTAGCTTTATTCACACACTAGCATACTCCAAAGCAAAATGTTTCTGTGCCCAAATGTTCAAGTACACCCAAGGAAGGAAAAGTCCGTGGCTCTTAGGCAGTAGGAACAGTTAGAATTACTAGGACATGATGAAATAATGTCCTGGGTGTGACTATCCCAGGTATAGCATGGCCAATTGTGTCTAAATGGAAAGAAAGAAGAAAAAAGGAATGAAGGAAGCTGTGAATTGCTGCAAAAATCTCTCTGGAAACTTGCCTAGTAAAAACTCTTCTCTCCAGTCCCTTTTCATACCCTCCCTCTTATTACCTTTGATGCATGGATATATCAATGGGGGCGGGGTCTGCTTCCAAAATTAACTTTGCATGGCACAAAGGAACCTCTAGCAATCTCTAGGGTTTATGCCATTTGGCCAAAGCCTAGGGAAATATTAATCAAAAAAGAATTAAAAGGTATAACTGGGATCAAACAACAAAATAAAGCTAAAGCCACTTCAGTGAGATGGAAGGATGAGCTGCTGGTGAATCATGTGAGCCACAGTTTGAAACAGAAGTGCTGGAGATGGCAGCTCCACGCTCTTGTTTGAAATCTGGATGGGATCTTTCCTCAGCTGGGCTGGGATTCTGCTTGCAAAGTTATTCCTCCTTTGTTCCAAGCACACACACAGGGGGGATGGCTGCTTTGGCTGCTCTTGTAGGGTGACCCTGAACCTATCTGTATAGCATCCCAAGTGGTCCTCAGACATGTGAAGGCAATGCCTGGACTGCCTGGACAGCCGGTTCTGATTACTGCTAGTGTATCCCTCCAGCAAGGCACAGTTCCAGCACTTACTTGGAAATCAGCTTGCCACGACTGGGGCTCAGGGCTGATTTGGCACAGATCCTGCACGTGGGCTTTGCGGAGTGGATTCTTCCCCATGGCTGCACTGGGATCGCTGGCTGTTGGGACTTTCTTGAAAGGCTCACGGTCGGCAATCTGGTTAGTGCTGTATGCCCTGCGCCGTGAGGATTTGGGGTCCACCCCTGCACAAAGGAAGAGACAGTCAGCTCCACTTCTGGAAGCAGTACTAGCCAACACCAGACAGGCCTGGGGCATGACTTTCTTAGGGGGCAGAGAAACAGAGGCCTAATCTTCCAGAAAGCACGTTGAGAGCATCACCCGCCTGCTCTTGCCCTGACACCATAGGGGCCACACCCTGGAGAACCCAGGAGTCCTGAGTCCCAGTCTAACCTTTCTCCTTTCTGTTGGGAATGAAGCAGAGCCCTCGATATCTGGACAGGGACACACAGTCCAGCCCCTCATTGTGAGGCAGCATGAGGGAGATACAGGCCAAACTCACACGTCATCCAAGCCTGTGAAAGATCCACAAAGGGTCCAGGAAGCCTTTACTGAAGCTGTTCTGGGCCAAGAAAGAGGGTTTTAAAAACTGCAATAATAATTACAGAGCTGAAATGTCAGGAGGGAAATTTGGAGGGAAGCCTGTTCTCAAGGGACTTCCCACTTTGATTTCCAGATATATGTGGATAAAGCTTCCAACCAAGTCAGCTCTCCCAGCCCTGTGTGGTTTGTCATCACTCCGCCTGAGACCCCTGTCACTTCAGAGATACAGCTAAAGGGACTTTATCTGACAGCAGCAAATCAGCTGCCAAAGGCAAAGCTGCAGGCACATCAGGGAGACGAGTGTGCGACAACTCAGGCTTCCCACACAGACGGACTGACCAGTATCAGTGTCTGACTCTCTCCCTGGCTCTCCCCCGACCACCAGGAGCTCAGGGGTGCGGTCAGAAGGGAACCCCAACTCTGAGTCTTTGGCATAGCTCCAGCTGTCTGCACCAGGTCCCTCCTCCTGGGAGTGAAAAAACACAGAGCTGCCTGACTCCTGGGAACGCAGCATGCTGTAGCGCCGCCTCTTGTCCTGGTGAAGAAAGAGACAGAGAGGAATGGGGTTGTGGGGGGCAGTATCTCAGCCAGCTGTGCCTGGAGAGTGCTGATGACAAGACTAGAATTGGCCTTCACAGGTGTTGCTGCCTTTGCCTCGTGCAATTATCAAGGGCCTCTTCACTCCAATATCTGAAAGCACCTTCTCCCCCAGCCTTGATGCCCAGAGCCGCTCATTCCCTCATCCTTTCTCTCCTCACCCCATTGTCCCTGAAGACTCACCCACCATTTCCCTCCACCACCGAGCCCAAGGCCATCACGACCCACTGGCTCTTCTGACAGTTTGCAATCCATTTGGGAAGGGAAGAAGAGTGAGAGCAGTGGGAACATGCAACCTTCCCCCAGTGCATGTGCACGCTCAGACATGTACATCCAGCATGTACGCCCATATACACAGAGAGCACGTTCATGCACACACAGTACACATGTGGCTAGGAAAGGTTTGTGGTGTGTTACTTACAGATCTGGGGTTGGAGGTGTACAGAGATGTGTCGCAGACAATGCCGTATCCAACCAGCCGGTCACCTGGGAAGAGGCAACTGGCGCTGACCGGGGAGATCAAGACCTCCGTGGTTTCAGGAAAGACCCACTCCACAGTGACATCACTCAGGACAGGCCCCATTGCTTTCTTCAGGGATTTTATCATCTGAGAGGAAGAAGCACAAAGCACAGGAGGATTGTGGAAGGGGACGTGCACTGTGAATGGATATCTGGGCACACTGTGAATGCATTCAGTGAACACGTGTGTGCATGAATCCATGGGTGTCACCATGTGGTAAGGACCGCGGAGTGATCCAACCAGTGCGTGTGAGCATGTAAGTGTGTTGCACAGGCTGCATTTAAACCCACAAACCCTGTGGGGTTTCGGAGAGCATGAAGCACAGCAATGTCCTGACTACCAGACCTTGCAGGAGGAGAGACCAGTGGAGCAGCTAGTCTGCTCTCCTGCCTGGGCCTTACATGTGACACACTGGGGAAAAGAGGAAAAATCTGCCCTTAGCTGATGATACAAACTGACTGGCAGAGAAACATCCACTCCTGTCTCCTCGGGATGCTGAGACTTCAGAGAGGAGATTGAAATGCATGTTCCCCCAGTGTCACTTGAAGCTAACTAACTTCTTCTCAACGACTCACTAACACCTGCCCCCAGATCCTTGCAGCTACTCTGAGTTGTGCCATCTGCTACTGTCCCTCTATACATCCATGCCCAGGGATGTGCACTGGGGACATCCAGGCACCATGGACAGTGAGCCCACCAGTGGATGAATGTCAGTCTTCAATGCAAAGGCTTGGAAAGCGTCAGTGGGCACCATTCCCTGGGCAGGCCAGTGATGCCCTGGTACCAGGATATCAGGCTGGGTCTGTGCTCCCCTGAGAGGTGTAAGTCACATGCACAGAAGTGTGCACAACCGCACCGCCCCTCTCCACTCTCACCAGGGACAGCCAGGGACAAAGAACTCCCTGGGGCTTTCCAAAGGGACGAGACAATTCTCTAGGGCAAGCCCAGAGCTGTCTCTGCTCTGAATCAACTATCCCCAAGGACACCAAGCTTTTCTCTTGGACACATCCTTCAAACCAAGGCCAGCTGCCACCAAGCACTGGGCATGCTCCTCAGCTGCTGTCAACTGGCACAGCTCCATGGGAATCAATTAGCCAGGCCCCTGGCAAGTGCCAATCAATGGCTGGCATCAGTGGAGCTACACCAGTCACAGCAACAGGAGATCCAGTCTAGTATCAGTGACTATATCCTAGGCCAGTCTTTAGGGAAGCTCACCCTTTTTTCCCCCATGGACCATCATTTTCCAGTGTTCAGGGAGGAGTTAAAAGCAGAATTATACATGGCCACTTTTAAGCGCTCTGTATTGCTCAAGGCGTTATGGGAGGTTTGTAACATATAACCAGGCTGTGTTTTATGGGGCCATCAAATAATGTCTCAGCCTGCAGAAGGTCCCAAGCTGCAGAGCATGGGAGGCCCGTACTGCACTAATAGCTCCATAAAAAACATTCTTTCTTGTCTTAGGCCTTAATTTATAATGGAGAGGCTTGTGCTCTCTGAAAGTGCTCCCTGTGCTGTGGATCCCAATGGAGGGACTTCCAGGAAGTGAAGATCTCTTTAAACGCACTTTGGACCCGCAAAAAAAGGAATCTCAAATGTGTCAAAGTACATCAGGTACTTAGTTCTTACTGGTTTCAATGGAACCTGCTTATATGTTTTTCAAAATCCTGCCCATTGCTGATCTGCAGCTTAGGCATCCAAATACCTTGGAAAAACCCGGCCCTCGCTCTCTACCTGTATACAGACATCACTGAGCCCCTGTGTGCCAATTACAGTACCAGCCGATAGCTGTTTGTCACTAATCATCAGGCCCACTCCTGACGGCCCCAGGTCTCAAACCTGCTAGAGGCCAGGGGCAATCCTGAGTGTGGATCCACTGCCCAGGCTGCAGGACCAAGCTAGAGCCACGCAGTAATGGTACGACTGGAACTGGAGGAACTTTATGCCCCACTCCACACTACCGCCTGCCACACGTGTAGCACGCCAGCAGTCACAGTGGTTAGGACGGTCATAAAAGTCTCCCAATCCCAATCCTACTACTGTTTTAACATCTCTGAGTTCCATGGCAGAAGGGCCAGATTTACCAAATGGGGATGCAGCAGAAGGGGAAGTGCGGCTGATACATAGTAGTCCATAAGAACCAGCTCGGGATATAAATGCTATAAAACGAAGAGGACCAGAGGGCCTCAAACCCAACCAGTAACCTTTTGAGCCCAAGCCTCCAATGTCCCTGCTGTCGGTTAGTGGGGAGAATATAACCAGGACCTGCAGGGATATTTATGACAGTGAATAATGAAACTTGCTATGCGCTTATGATAGAGTGAAAATGATGAATGCAGAGAGCTCTGGTATTTATGACATTGGCAGTGCAGGAGCCAGACACGAAACCTTAAATGCTTGCCTCCGGATTGGTTCAATAGGCACAATGATTGCACTGTTTATTCCTCTTCCTCCTACCCTGTGAACTCCCAGGCTGCCAGACTAAGCTGAGCAGGGGTAAGCTGGACTTCAAAATTAATGAGCTGCCTTCATGCTGGTTCCTCTTCCTTGGGCTCTGCCTAGTGCGGTGGCTGTGTTTGAAGCAAGCAGCCTTATTGTGGCTATCGCTTGCAGGCATCCAGACATGCAGAGGGTAAATGCAGGCTCTATGTCACCAGTCAGTCAGAGATAGAGATGCTTTCTCATTTTCCTCCACTCACCCACATGCTGTGGCTATGTGAGAGGTGCAGAGGCAGTTCCAGAGCAAAGAATTACATGGAAACCAGCTTGTGCCCACTGCCCCTGCCCCCACCCCATCAAAGCCAGATGAGAGCATCATTAAAGTGACATGAGGCTGCTCTTCCAGGCACATCCCTGCAGGAGAGGAGGGGTGAGGGGGTAAGTCCAGCCACTCTGTGCTGGGGTGGCCAGGGTTATCCCAGAGGCTATGCCAACAGAATGCAAATAGCTCCTGTAATCCATACTGGGGCCTCAGAAATGCCACACTTATGAACAATTAACCTCATGGTAAAAGGAGAGGTGCTTTACCATGTGGAAGTCACTCTGTGGTAACTGCCCGGGTGCACGCTCTGACCCTGGGGTATGTGGAAGCCAAGCTGTGATAACTTACCCCACTAGTAGTGGAGTAAGCATAGTGCTGAGGACTATGCTTCCACAGCTAAGCTTGCATGTGCCACAGGGTAACAGCACACACGCAGGCCATACCTCTGCGAAAGTACTTTGTTGCCACAGAGCCTGACTTCTGGGGCTGCTGCTTGGGCCTGCAAAACCCACAGCCACCTCTCTGCCCCTGCAGTGAGACCTTGGGTCAAGTCAGGCCCCTTCCTCCCAAGACACAAGCCCCTGCTGGGAAGGCAAAACAGCATGCCAGGCCTCAGCCCATTAGATAACCCATCTCGGGCTCTGGGTGAGGGCAGTGCACCACAGCATCGTAGCACTGTGATACGCAGTGTTGTATCTGCAGCAGCGTTGTATGCAGGTTGGCCCCCTGAGACCAGGCAGACATTCTCAATTCACTACAGGGATCTGCAGGCCCCCACAGAACCCCTGCCAAGCCCAGCAAGGACATCAGTATGCAAGGAAGCATCTTCAAAGAGGAGTCTAAGGGAGCATCTTCCTCTGCATGGGCCAGCTCCCCAGGAGGAGTCTGAAAGCTGAAAGTACGTCTGAAAGCTCCAGTACGAAGCCTGGGAGCCTGGAGTAATTTCTCCTTCAGATTCACCATCCAAACCTCCTCTTTAGCTAAGAATAATCCCTCCAGCACTGGAAATCAATCACCCCTCTGCCTTCTGCCCCCGCTGTTCTGTGCTCACCCATTACAGACTCAGGATGGATGGTTGGGGCTGGACTGCAAAGTGCCCTGCTCCTGGTGAAGGAGAATAAATCACAGACCTCCCCCATGGCAGCCTTGTTCCCAGCTTTCCCATGAAGTCTGAACTTCCCCTTAGAGCTGTGGCTCCACCCCAATCCCAAAGCCAAGAGTCAGCAGAGGAGGAAGCAAGCCCTCTGTCCCACTGCAAACCATCTCCTCTCACTGCTGCTGTGTGATCAGGCCTGTGACCTCTTAGCATCTGAGGCTGCATCTTCTTCATGTTCTGCATATCCCAGTAGTGTCTAGGGCAGTGAGTACTGCAGCATGCCTGTGTCCTCAGAAGAAGCTGACAGGCGAATGCATGGGAGATCACAAGGAAACAGTGAGACTGTTGGCCCCACAGTAGCTGGCAGGATCAGGGCAGCAGCTGCTGAGGATGCAGAGCTCTGCCCATGACTTCCTCCTCATTTCCACCCATGCATCATTACAGGACTTGGGGGAAGGGCTCAGTGTGTGTTAAAACCTATGGAGGTAAAGCCCACCCGAAAACAGGTCCTGACCTGGCTGGCTCCCTGCACAAAGCCTGCTGGATGACTCCAGCCTTTGCCCCTGTGCTCAGCAGTGAGCGTGTCAAATCAGTGTCTAATTCATCCACCTTCATCCCTATTGTTTATGCTGATCCCTCTGCAGGAAGGATCCCCCTTGGACCACTCCTCCATCCTGTTACAGTGCCAAGAAGCTGCCAGATGCAGTGGCACTGCCTCAGGTCTGCAGTGGAGGCTGCCCCATTCTCTCCCTCTCCCCCACATCAGACACAGGCACTGAGGGAAGGGAAAGGATTGTGAGGTGCAGTACCTTGGGCTGCAGCCTCTCTCCTTCCACCAGGAACTCTGCATTCCCCTTGGATACAGCAGCCAGCCCGTGCACCAGCCTCCTGCAGGCACTCTGCCCAATGCCAAAGCTGTAGCATCTGTGAAAGGACAAGAACACGGGACACAGTCAAGGGGAAAGGCCCAGGGGTATGGACTGTCCCTGCCTTGACTTTGGGCAGGGAAAATAGCCTGAGATTCAAAGCTCAGGGTCCCCTGCTGGACATCACTGGACATCACTGGGAGGTAGTCTCTGAGAATCAGCTGCTCATTAAGGCACCTGATGTTGGGCAGCCAGCTGGAACTGCCTGGCCTTGCCTGTTCAGCCCTGGCAATGCAAGGGGGGATGAGATCATTAGGAAGCGGAGAGTGCCCTGCTGGTCCCTTGAAAGAGCCTCCAGAACCCAGGGTGCTCCTGACAGGGAACCCACACCCTACTTCCCCCTCCTAACTGGTCACTGCATCAGCTCACTCCCTCTGTCCGCACACAGGCTGCTTCTGTGCCAGCTCAGCTGTTTCCCTACTGAGCCTGCAATCAATATCATTAAAGACCTGGTAATTATCTTTGCTCAGAATTAAAACAAATGTTTTCTCAAGGAAAGAGAAGCCAGGGGACAGTGCTGCTTTCCTGACCTTCCCTGCCCTTTTGCTAAGTGACTTGGGTTTCTTTTTTCTATATCTGGTGGCACCAGCCTTTGGTTGAGAGCTGACACCAGGGCTACGAAGGGAACAGCAGGGAGTCTGAAGGTTTTCTGCAGCCAGGGACTTGTGCAGGGATGGGGGCAGCTTCACTAGCTACAAAAGGGCAGGGAATCTGACTGTGTCCTGAAAGGGAATAGCTGTTTTTCCTGGGCATTAAACAGCTGCTTCTTTCCTGTGCACTTCCAGAATACTTATTACATGCAGCCCTGCACCAAGCTGGCACCAGAACCAGATGCATTGAGAAAAAACTGCAAGGAAGACTCTTCACGTGTCATTTTTGCATAGAGGAAGCATCAGAGATGAGCTTGGCCCCATTTTCCTAGCTCAGATCATTTGAATGAACTTCCAGAAAAGCAGCTGAACTCCTGGGCTCCATTCCAAGCTCTGAAAAATCTCCCACTGTTCCCACCATATATCCTCCTGCTTTCCTGTCCCTGTCTGGGATGGCCACGAAGCCTGAGGTAGGAGCCTCCTACACTCAGTGGGTCCCACAGCACACTTGGTCCTTTGCCTGTGTGCTAGGGGATCTGAAAGGTATCCATACCTGGTGGAGGCAGAGTGGTTCCTCAACAGCTCAATGACCTTCCCTGTGTTGCTGACAGCTCCATCAGTCAGCAGGAAGAGAAGGCGAGGGTGGCCCCTATGGATGGGCTGTCGGATTGCCCACTTCAAAGGGGATAAGATGTTGGTGCCACCCATATCCGCCCGGATCTTCTTGATGCTCTCACAGGCGATGGCCAAGCTCTCCTACAGAAAAAGGACACGTGAGTGTGAGCCACACTAGCAAGGATCATGGCTGAGACGGTGCTTCCCTCTGCCACCCATTTTATCTGAGCTGGGAAACAGAGGTATGAACAGGTCTTGACCAAGATCATGCAATGAGTCAGTGGCATAGCTTGAAACCAATCGTTTTCAGTGTCTGTTGTGAGGCAGGATGAATCCCCACCCCACAACTTTGCTGCACACTTGGTTGCAAGAGGATATGGATTGAACTCCAGAGAGGGCTCAGGGCTTGTGTTAGCTGGAATAAATGTTCATTCAGATTATTATGGTGTGTGAATTTTAAATGAAGTAACTAATGCCAAATAGCTCCATCCAAGAGCTCTCTTAGTCTGGAATGAAGAAACTCTTAGTAAGAGAGTCTACACGAGGGGAAATTCCTTGCTGCCAGGTAAAGGGCACCCAAGCTACAATGCTCTGAGTGCCAGCACATTCAGAAAGGCCTGCACCCACCTCACAGTAAGTTTGACTGGAAGGAAATAAGGTCTTAAAAGTTGACCCAAAGCCAATGACGTTGAAGAGACATGCTGGCACCAGGCTCTTGAGAATGACCAGCAGGGCGTCCTGTGAGGGCAGAAAGTAAGCAGTTGTCAGACATGCCAGAGGCCTGAAATCTGACCGGTCACCTGAGCTGCATCAGCAAGTGCTCTGCTCTGCCCCTCCTATGTGAATGCACTTCAGTACCGCAGCCCGGCCACGTAACTTCTCATTCACACACTGAAAACTACATCTAATTGCTCTTCCGCCAAAGGCTCCTTTAAGGGAGCAGACAGAGAGGGGTCATCAAGATCTTAACATGTAAGATGATGGGGGGACAATCTTTAACTAATGTTTTTCTTCCTCATACCCACCTTGCTTCTCCCAGCGGTGTCCTCTTCTTTATCCTCCCCCATCCCTACCCTTTGTATTCTAACCACTGCTTTCTCATAGAAATTATAGAGAAGTAGGGCTGGAAAGGACCTCTGAAGGTCATCTAGTCAAACCCCTGCCTGAGGCATGATTATCCCTATCCAAACCATCCCATGCAAACCATAATCTAACCTCTTAGTAAAACTACAGTCAACCCTGATACAACAATAGACATGACATCCTAATATACCACAGGTAAAGAAGGGGGACCATGGAGGCAATGTCCTGCTTATATCAAAGGCTGTTAATATACTGCTCAAGAGATCCCAGGTAGAGAGCCATGACCCACAGAGGAAGGCAACAACCCCCACAGTCCATACCATTCAGTGTAGAAGCTCTTTTTCTGGCAGTCCCTTGATAGCATCTGATGACACAAGCTGTTGCTTACAAAAACTTACCATCTCTGATTTAGTCTAAAAGGTGCAAATCTACTCTGCCTTCTGCTGGACTCCAGACTAACAAGGCTAACTACCTCACTCTTTAGAGAACTTAACACTGGGAATGTTTTCCTGAACTTAAAAGCAATGAGAGCAGTTGGACTGGATAGCAATCTTCTTCCCGGGGCTTGCAAACTAGCATGGCAGGCTAAAGCAGAGAACCAGCAGGTGAAACTGTCCTGCCCATTTTCATTGCCCAAACTGCAAGGAGAAAACAAAACCTGAAAAAAGGAACAGGAGGAGCATCCATGTGGTTTATTTTTTTCAAATTGCTTTGTTTGAATGATGCGAGGTGAAATGACTAGCATAGGTGACAAGGATTTATAGCCTGAGGTGGTCTCTTGAATACTCCAGTCTGCACTAGTTCATCTCTGTGTTTTTTTCATTACAGAACAAAGATGTCATTTCTGGTGCATGCTATCAGATGGGGATGGAATATTCCAGGACGGAGAGAGCAGCTTGTTTTGGTAGCAAACAGCAGAGTGAATATGAAGCTCCTAAGCTTGCTGCAGCAGCACAAGCAATTAGCATTGCAAAGAAGACAGTTGAAAGCAAAGCATGGGTCAGTGATTTGTTTTTGTGCTGGATGTTCACATGCTGATGAGGGCAGACTTCTGCCAGTTTGCCTAGGGCAGCAGAAACCCTAGAGCCAGCCTACAGAGAAGAGCTGCCAAGGTCAGATGAAGTGAGAGCAGCCTCCTTGCTTTGTCACTGAGAGCAGCGGGGACTTGGTGACCTAACAGGCCAGGAGGTTGAAAACATCCCACAGCGGGCTGAAGGTAATCAGCCTGGAACTGCCCAGTCAGAAGCTGGTCTCAAGACTGGTGCTAAATACGTGTGTACCTAGTGCTTGATCCAAAGCCTGGGGCAGTCAATGCACAAAACTCCACTAGGCTGTGGAGCGAGTTCATAAAGCCTCATGGGAGCTTTATTGACTGCAAATGGGCAGTCTCTCTCCAGCTGTGCAGCCACCCCGAACACCTTCACACAAAGGGTGCATGAAGTCTGCCGGGCAGCCAGGCCTGGAACTCCCCATGACGTCAGCGGAGGTTTTATACCCAGTGAAACACTGTTCTGCGCAAAAAAAAAATCCTGGCTTATGATGGGCCAGAAACAGTCATGTGACAAATCAGTACACTTGTACTGACATCTTAGCAGATCTGAAGCAATGTTAACCAACCAGAGATTGTATGTAAATGAACGCACTTTGACTGGCTGCAGATGGGCTTGGGCAAAACTCATCATCTCTGAACCAATGAAGTACTAGCATGTGCTAATTGCCGCTTCCTGAAAATGGCAGTGAAGATGACGGCTCTTTTTTCTAAGGACCTTGAACCCAGTTCCCTTTTTTAATAGTAGTCTTAAAACCAGATTTCTGGACATTGCTAATAAAGCAATTCCCAATGCATGTTTCCAACACCAACTGAGCGTTTCCACGAGTGGAAAGATTTATTGCCCCCTGAGGCAAATATTGATCTCCCTGCTGCTGCACTCAATATTTATCTCGCAGCTCAATAAAACCAAGATGTAAACCTCAAGAGAAGTCAATATCTACTTATTATTTCCATCTTTGCCAATGTATATGCTTGATACAGACACACTCCAGGCCCCAGTGCCTTCAAGCAGACACTGGCATTTGCAAAGAGTGTGTTGGGAGAGTTCACTGTGGCAGCTGCAGGAAATTAAAAGCGTGGAGCTTGCCTCCTCAATACTTTCATCTTAGCTTCTTTTCTTTCCACAGATGACTCTCCCCACTTCGTTCCGCACACACACAGAACAGACATTGAATTATCCACTATCTAGATGCGCTGATCTCCCCAGCGCCCTGGCGTCATACCACCCCAGCTATGACTGCAGCTGGGATTTTTATTCTGTGCAGCTCCCCTCTCTCTTTCAAGCCCATCCAGGTTCATTCCATGCAATGTCTAAAACTCAGATGATGTCTATGCAAATGTTACTCAAGCAAGTGCAATCCATCCAAGATGCATTACAGGGCAGCGGCCATGGTAAATGAGAGTGCTTTGCAAAGTGACACACAGGAAGAAAAGAGGAGAGGAAAGTGTTTTCTCTCCGGATGGGGTTCACTCAAAGGTGGGCGGTAGGAAGGGACAGAGTGGGCATCTCCAATGACCTTTCATGCCGTACTAGTTGAGAATAAAATTCCTCCTTGATCTTCTGGGTGCCTCCTTTCAGCACCACAGACAGCTCCCTCTGGGCCGCTTGCATTCAGCTCAGCGCCCAGCTACTTCTGGCCGCAATTTTCAGAGGTTGAAGGGATCTAGGCGCCCAAATCTGAGATGCCTAATGCCCTTGGGCTCTTTAAATATCTGAGCCATAAAGAATAAAGGGTTCAAATTAATTTGTGGGGTGGGCTGCAAATCCAGCACAAGTTGGTTAGAAAATGATTCAGTCATTTGCACTCTTTGGCCCTCTGGGGTTGTAGCATGCACTGTGTCAGCGTGAGGTGAGTTTTGAGGTCCCCTGTGCACAACATGGTGAAGTTTGATCTTTCTGAGCTTTGCAAGAGCTAAAGAAACCTAAGTTACACATTAATGAATGTCACGCACCGCCCCGAAATCATTATTCCTTAATATCTGCCTCGTACGCAGCACCTTTCATCTGTAGCTCTCCACATCTTTACAAAGCTAGGTTTCAATAGCCCTATTTTCCTGTTGGGAGAACTAAGGCAGGGGGTGACTCAGCTGCAGTGATGGGTATAGATCCTTTCACAAGTCCCAGGGCAGTCTCTTCATGGAGCCTCTTTTCTTCCCTACAGTCCCAACAGTAGTTCAACTGTATCAAAGCAAGCACTTTGTGTCGGTGATTAAACCCGGTGCGTGGGGCCAGGCACTCATTCTTACTGAAGACTTCAGTGCTAGGTCTGTTAATAGCTGCTTTGGCCCAAGAGTAGAATTCCCCCTGGGTCAAGAGTGGGACAAAATAGATGTGGGAGTCTACACAGAGACACACACATAGGCAAGTTCACAGGTAATCATGAGACTTAAAATGTACACAGGCATCCCAAGAGAATTATGATATAATGGGATAGCTCTAAAGGGTGTGAGGATACCTGGAGACAGCCCTGAAGCTATTTGCTCACATGCCAAGGATTGTGAGGATAGGGCATTAACTCCCCCCGATGAAACCAAAGTGTTTTGAGACACCAGAAAGTCCCTGACTTGAGCACATTTATCCTTATTCAGAGCTTGCCTGAAGGAGATCATAAGCTTTTTAGAAGAAAAGCATGGCTCTGTTGGCTCAGAAGAGCCCCCCTCTGCCTCACTTGTGTATGTGAAAGATGTTGTTTGCCTGAGAAACTGGAAAGGGAAAAATGTTAAAGGAAGAGTGTTTCAAATGGAGCTTGATTCAAGGAGGTGAGAAAACGTTCACTGCAGGGAGAGGGCAGGGAAAGGAGATGTCACAAGGAGTATTTGGAAGCACTTGTGACAATGGTAATACTTCTCATTTGCCTAGGGGAGAAGATCTCAAGGTCAGGGCTCTGAGTCAGGAGTCAGAAAATAGGGGTCACTCTGTGTCCTTGACAAGTTACTTTGCTTCCCTTAGTTTCACTTGCCCTATCTGTAAAATGGGGTTAAGAATCTGTCCTTTCTTCCATCCTTTGTCAATTTGGGTTAAAAGCACTTTCTGTATGTACCGCACTAAGCATAATTAGACCCTGATCTCAGCTGGCATCACCACAACAGAAGTAATTAACATGTCATCATGAGCTTTGGCTACAACCTCTCATTTTAAATAGGTATTATCCTGATTTGCAGCTACGCACATTGAGGTACAAGGAGATTAAGTGATTTGCCCAAGAGTACTGCATGAATCAGTAACTGACCTGGCCAGAAAAGCTAAGTATTCTGGCTCCTCTCCCCATATTCTAGCCAGCTGATGCCACCCCAACCCAAGTGAATCTGAAGGGATGCCCAGAAAGTCAGAACAAAGCTCATAATGACTATAAAATGTGGGGGCAGCCATTCCTTGAGTGTTAATGAAGCCACCCTGCATCTCTGCCATAACACGGGGATGACATACAGGTCCCTGGGGACACTGTCAACAGGAGACAGTAACCTGCAGCAAGATGTACAGGCAGATGGGTTTCCAAAGGGCCCCCCAGCTCCCACACTCACAAGGGCCAGAGAGGTGACAGTGGGACTGACTTGCCTCCAGGTGACCCTATCCTTCCAAAATGATGCTAACAGCCAGCACATGACAAAGGAAGCTCTTGCACTCTGCTGGTGGGGGGCCTTCCTAATCCCATTCTCATCAAACCCACCATCAGATTGGCAAAGATAAGGGCTTGGTAAGGCAGTGTCCTACAGAGTGGTAGCTGCAGAGGCAAAGAATCTACCCACAAGAACATGTAACAGTATCACCAAGCACTTGTAAGGGTAGGGGGGCTCCAGCGACTCAGCTCAGCCCCAGGTATGGGTGGCCAGGGCCGAGACACTCCCCATGGCTATCCCAAGTATGTTCTATTAGTAGGACACACAGCTGTGATGGAGCCCTGCCCATCCTGGCAGTCACCCTGGGGACAGACTACCTTTGCAACCCACCCACATCCCCAGGCCTGGGAGCAGCAGCCCATACTGACTCAGGATAGTGTAATGTGCAGGAAGCCAGCAGGGATGAATGGATCCCAAAGGATTCAGACGGAGACCTTCCTAGTGGAGCTCCTCTCCCTGAATGCAGATGTTCTCGGCAACCTGCCAGTGCCAGCTGGCTCCAGCCAGACACGGACCTGATCTCTGATGCATCTTCATCAGAGACGATGCTAATTAAAGAGTTGCCAGGGCGATTTCCTCATTGATGGATGTAGCGGTTTGGAGAAGGGAACTCTGGCTCAGCGCAGTAACCTAGATGGTTCTGCTGGACAGTGGCATGGAGCCAAGATCTACCCTGATTTATGACCCCTGCAACTCCCTCCCAGGAGGAAGTGCTTTGCCTGCAATAACTGAATAGCAGGGTTTGCTCTCGCAGACCCAGTGCTGTGAGCCCTGCCTGGACAAACAGACCCGCTGGATTCACTGCTCCTCATCTGAGTTCAGGGTGGCAAGACCAAACTCACACAAAGGTTGATCAAAGTCCAATGAAAATAATGGAAAGACTCCTGCTGACTTCTCTGGGTTCCCATCAAGGGTGTGGTTACCCCATCATCCAATGATAGATGTGTGTAGGGTTGCAACTCCTATGTGCCTACAGGTTTTCATAGATCTAGTGCACCTTCCAACATATACTTTTATACCTAAGCGCTGCTTCTCAGTTACCCATCCTCACTGAAATGCAGTCAGCTTTTAATACAGTGCATTGGTCTTTTAATACTGCAAATCTACATGGAAGTTTAAGCTAGACTGCAAGGACAAATTCCTTTAACCATTGAAGCAACTGCAAACAAGCAGCATATGAGTTCATATTCCTGTCCACAGCATTTCCTGCCCAATGGTCTCCAAATCTTTCATAACCTTCACCTGAGCCAAGTAAACATGGTTATTCTACTTCCATGCAGAGAACAGAGACAGAGACTGGTTCAATGACTTGACCAGGGTCACACAGTGTGTTACTGGAGGAGCTGCCAGCAAAGTGCCTCTGGGTTTCCCTGGAGGTCTCCTGTTGAAGCACTGATCAGGCCTAAGCCCCTGCTGAGACTGTGAATTGTGGCTACAAAACACTATGCACATGCCCTGAAGATGCTGAAAACAAAGCTGTTTCTGATTTGTCTGTACCTGACTATCCCCCAACAGCCAGAAAGCCAGCAGAGACGGGCAAGTGCTGTTTAACACTCATTCACTGCCCCTCAAACTGCAGAAAATCTTCAACCTCTTCCCCCGCACCACCCCTCATCACCCACCGGCAGTACCTTGACCCGATTGATGCTCACGCCACTCATGCTTCCACTGCGGTCTACAAGAAATATAAACTCCCCCTGGGCTTTCCTGAGGTCTGGCTGGATGTTCCTCAGGTTGGGGCAGAAGTTCAGCATAATCACGGGGTGGTGAGGAAGGTCCTTGTGCAGCCGTTTCCTGATGATTTCTGTCTGTAACACAGAAGATAAGCTCTTCAGAGGGAACGTGCCAGCATCCCTGCTCCTGACAAACCTCTCCAGATTATTTCCCCTTACCCCTGACTCCTTTTCCCTCTAGAATTGAATCGGAGCAGTGTTAGGTGACACCACAGTAAAAGTGCCCCAGGCCTTCAACCCCTATGAAACTGCCTGTGAGGAACTACATATCTGATTTCTGTCAGTGGACAGCACCCAGGGCAAATGCTGGGCACTTAGCTGGGATGGTTTAGTGACCCTACCTTGAGCAGGAGGCTGGACTAGATGACCTTGTGAGGTCCTTTCCAGCCCTGCCTTCCTATGAACCTATGATCCCATGAAACCAGTGAAGATAACACCAGGTAGGGAGTGCATGAATGCACAAGAAAGGCAGCTACAAGTAGGAATAAGCATCTCCCCACAACAGATCACTAAACACTCTCTTCATTCAGCCTCACGAGAGCAGGTAGGTTGGTGTTATAATCATTCGCATTTTACAGCTGGGTAAACCAAGGCAAAGAGTCATTGGTGACTTCTCCCTTGTCACTAAGCTTCAGAACTGGAATCAAATCTCAGGGGGTTGTAGGTTATATTTCAATGTGATGCAATGGCTGGTTCTGTTAACTTCTTCTGTTCTGCTTCTCCTACCCATTCTTGTTATCATATTTTATTGCCTAAATCAAAAAACCTATAACATAAACTGACCCACCATTCAAGACATAATTACAGTAGCATCTGGCATGATATATATTTTCTTTATGGCCCGTTATATCTCAAATTTAATGGGTTTCTGCATTTTGTTTAATATTACTTGATGTATTGATCTAAAAAGATCTATAAAATTAAATTAAAAAAAAAATCCAGTGATGGTTGTGTAATCTCCTCTGCGATGGCTGCAAAAGGCAGCCCTTGACAGATCACCTCTGCTGGAGTGAAATCATAGCCTCCTCGCTCCTTATGGTGCCTCACTGACTACATCAGCGGAGACTCTGGCCCCTCGTTCCCAGTTCTGCAATATTGAAACATGCTCTGAAGCAAACTCTTTGATTGTTGTCAGTTCATAAATAAGACTACTGATGCTCTCTGATTGCAGGAGAAGTTATGAAGACCTTTGCTTAAAGAACTGGACTCATTTTAGACAGCTGGTGAGTCTCTCATTCCCAGAGCCTGCTATAAATTAATTACTAATCCTTTTTTTCCCATATTGGTCTGAGCATAATGCTGACACCTTCCCTCACCCAAGGAACAATTTGGATTGATCTGCACATGCAGGCTTCATTTCACAGCTACCCAGGCAGAAATTTTCTCACCAGCCACCTGTGGAAATGTATACCCTATTTAAAGGAATAAGTTGAGTACCCTGCAGGTACATTAGCCAAGATAAAATGACCAGAACTATTGGCTCTGATGCTTTAGGGCATACATTGATCCATCACTGCCTGGGGGGTGGGGGTTAGGAAGGCCTTACCCTGCCTTCATGTAATGTTACTTTTTTTTTTTAATACCTTCCTCAAGATGCCAGCAATGGCCTCTGTCAGAAGATCAGACAAAATGGATCATCAGTCAGATTCAGGAGGGTAATTACTACATAACTTCATATAGATTGTAGTAGCACTTCCTTTGATCAACATCAAAGGCCTAACCCTGTGTGTTCCTCAGCCCCTCCTGGGAAAGCACCTCTTTTGCTGTGTATTTCTATGGCCCTCTTCTCCCTAGTATCTGAATATGTTGCAGTGGGTTATGATATTTATCTCACAGTTCCCTGTGATGGAGAATGTAGCATCCCCATTCTACAAATGACGAATTTAGGAACAGGGTAGATTAAGTGACTTGCCCTAAGTTACATGCCGGGGCAGCAGTAGGAACTGAATCAGGTCTGGATCTATGTCTATGGCCTAAGCACTGGTTTATCCTAGAGTGGAGGATGCCAGCACTTTCCAGGAGGTGCTGAGAACCTCACAAGGCTGAAAGGTCCACACATGATCAGGGCCTGATCCTGCTAAGGTCTAAAAGCACAGGACTCCCATTTGCCTTCAGAGGGAGACGTGTAAAGAAGCTTTTGTGCAGTCAGAGCTGTTGTGGCTCAGCTAGGGAAGATAGCATTTCATTTGCCCCCTACCTTCCGCCTCCCCCTACACCATTATCCAGTTATAATAAACTAATCAGATCTTGTCAGCTGCCAACTGATTCCAGGAGCACATTTGTCCCCATAATCTTGCTAGCTAATGAGCACTCAAATCATCTGCATAACAAACTGAAGAAGGGAAATGAATTATCATGCACCACTGAAATTTTGGAGTTAATTCATTTAAGCCAAGAGGTGATCAATGTCATGCTCTCAGCAGCAGCAATCCTAGCCTGTAATCTACCCTGGACACCTTTGTCAATGGCTCCTGTGTGAGGGACTAAGTCATGCTCTCAGAATCTGAGGAGTCCAGCATAGTCATGTCTCTGTCACGGTACCAGCCACACACAGCTGCTATGTTCTCAGCGTGAATGCTCCCCCAGTCCCTCCTGGTCCTAGGGGCAGAATTCAGATTTGAAAACAGGCCTGGAATTATACCCACCAGATAATTTGACAGCTTTAAGACACAGAATAATTAGTCAGGCTTCAAAGCCGTGGGGTGGGACATTCGTATCCTTCCACCTGCTGCACTCAGAAGGCAATTAAAGAAGAAGCCTGCGGTGTAATATAAATAAGGTTCTCATGCTTGCCTCTAATTGCGAAGGAGAGAAAAGACTTCACTCCAAAAATTTGTCAACATGTTTCAAATGTAATGAAAAATCATCACAACAACAACCCAGACAGCTGCCTTTGTGATAGCCTGAGGAGGCCCAGGAAGTGTGTGGTAGTCTGTAGACCACAGCATGGGCGTGGGAGGTAGGATTAAGAGCATAAGTGATGCCATACTGGGTCGGACCACAGGTCCCCTACCCTGGTTAATTGTTGGGTTCTTGTGCTAGGGCTGGTGGTGTCTCATTTGGTGACCAGGTCACTGAGGCTAAAACGATTGATGGGGGAGCATTGATGCATGTGTGAGTTCAGGCCACTCGGACTGCTTTGCAGAAACACCAAGCACTCAAAATCCCACCCGCTGCCAGCTTCACAGATAACTTGTGTACAACACTACAGGCCTGTGCATTTAAATCAGGAAACTGGCTGTGTTCTGGATTGCAAGTCTCTAGCCACACATGTCAGTACCCAACTGGCATGTGTACTTTTGATTAAGCCCTTAGCAGTCCCACCCACTCCAAAAAGCTCTAGTCTAAAATCTTTTGTATTGATATCGACCACACGGATGAGGTCATTGAAGAGAGGCTCATCCACCATTTCAATTTTTTTGGAATATTTGCCAAAAATCCTGCTATGAATATTTCTTATTCATTAGTCAATGGAATAAGCATTCATTCCCATCCCATTGCCTTCTGTCTGGCTAAAGATTCCCAGTCAAGGGGAACAAGCTCATTGGGAGAGTTTGTTTCAGACATGCTACTTTCTACAGCACACAACAGGCATGGTGGCAAATATCACATCTGGCCACTCCCCAGCCTGAATTACCAGGTACCCATTTATAGCTGGGAGCAGCCTCTGGCATTGCTCTTATGTAAGGCTTGGCCTCATCACACAGAAGCCAGGGCAGGGCTCCCTAACCAGTCTGTAAGCATGGCCCAATAATAAACCCAAGTAATAGCACTTATATAATTAGGCATTTACTACAGGTACCTGATATAGGACATATTTATTTTGCATCCAACTCCTACTGTATTATTCCGAATTATTATGGTCACTATTGCAAATAATAGATTTAATACTATATCATGTTAATTCCCTGTAGAATGAACCATGGAGCTACAGTTACATATGAGTGTATAATCTACCATTCCACATCAGACTCATAGCCTCTGCTGTACAGCATCCTGCCTCTGAAATGAGGTTTATGGCTGGGGAGAAAATTCTTCAGTGCTCCTTGTTTAACTAACCATGGGAGAAATTCAGTGAAGGACTTACTGCTTGTAATCATTAGAACTGTATTATGCATGTAGTGTGGATATATTCTGCTATTAGTACTAATTATACTACTTATAACAATGATAATAAACTTGGGTAGTACAATTTACCTTGTACTGATAAATCAATATTTACTTTCCCAACCCAGGCCCTTGCTACAGACTCCCAGGTGCAGTCAACATTTATTTACTGCTAAAAGCTCTGTTTTCTTATATCTAAATCTTCCCCAGTTGCCAGCCAGAAGCCCATCTCAGGAGCAGGATACTGCACTGTGGGGATTTCTGGGACGTGATACAAGAAGTAAACTAAAAATCAATCATTTGCTGAATTAAACCCCAGCTAAGGGTAAAAGTCTGTTCTCTCCTCACCTTCTTTTCTGCACTGGGGTCCTTCTTTGTTCCTTTAATAAAATCATTTCTTCCCTTCAGGTGTTGTTCATACTCTGCAGGGGTCATGTCACCTTCTTCCATCAAGATATGAGGCATATGGGGCTCTAGAAGGGAAGGAGCAAAGGGCAGGTTTAGACTTCTAGTTTGGGAGACACAGAGGGGCACAGAATTGAGAAGATGCTGCCTTCAAACTGGCTCCAGAGGATAGTAGCCCACACTTCCACATGAACAATTTAGTTCACATACAGGCCTAGAAATGTACTACCTGAAAAGTGCCAAGACCAACCGACTCCCCTTATTTCCAGGACAATGGGAAGAGACCCCTTGGAAGGGAACGGATGGCTGGCAGATGGCACGGCCCACCTACCGCTTGGATGGATTAGTATTTCCACTGGTCTGTCAAAAGTGTGTCTGTTGGCTAGCGTGATCATGATGCTCTTGGCAGAGCGGGCAGAGGGATCGGCATCTGCCCGGATCTCATGCGTTGGGCTTTCAACACCTGCAAGGGAAAGATGGAGGTCAGGTGGGAGCAGCGCTGGCAGGAGATCTGTGGAGAAGTTATTCATGGAGCTGGATGTGAGGGGAGCTGGGCTTCAGGGGACGAGAGTGAGAGTGAGGAGATATGGGGTGGCTTCCCTACCCAGCAACAAGCTGCACTCACCCATCGCTGCTCCGTCAGTGTCACCTCCAGGAATGGAGCATAGAGGACACCCTGGGGACACCTGAAGACACTGCTTCACTGAGCACACTGGAAACCCAGGGCTTGAGCAGGTGCCAGGAGCATCCTCAATGCCTCATTTTTGGCACTGGTGTGCCAGAGTGGGAGCAAGAGAGCAGGGCTTATTGCCTCAGAGACATGACTGAGCACTCTGTGGCCGCTGCGTAGTATACTAAGGGAGGAATGAGGGGCAGGTGTATAAAGGAACTGGGAGGGGTGTGTAAGGACCTGTGTGTACCAGCACACCTGGTATTCTGTCCACACTGTGCGCTCCATGTCACCTCTTGCCAGCCCAGTGCAATGAAGCCATATTTGCAGAAAAGCAACTGTGAGAGGAAATCACTGCTCTTCAGCACTGCAGGTGTCAGGCAGGCAGCTGGCTGAGGGAACCCTGCCCAGCTGGAACAGGGATGTTCCCTTAGTGCAGGGAGGGAGAGCCCTTGGTGGTAGTTCCAAGCAGGCCTGGCTTCAGGCCCTGGCACTCTCACCTGCAAGCAAGCAGGGCCCCCGGATCTCCAGGTGGAAGCTGAATTCGTACTCGGTGGGGTTGGATGCCTCACTCTCCAGCAGCCGGGCCAGACACAGCTTGTGCCCTTGATCCAGGCCCCCAGCTCCAGAGTTATGCCTGTCTCTGTAAGGAGATGAGACTGTGTGAAAGTGGCACCCCTTGGACTTGCCCTCTCTGCTGCACTGCAAATATGCTGTGGAGTCTGAGGGCAAAGCAATCAGTCACTCTCCCAGCTCCTAATGCAGCTGAAGCTTGTTTTTATGCAGCAACCTGAGCTTCAGTTCATGGCTCTCAGCTCAATGCCATCCCCAGGGGCATGTTGCCTTCTGGGGAGCTCAGGAGAGGATGAAGAAACAGCCAGGCAGGCACTAAGCAAGAGAGCCAGACAGAGCCAAAGGCAATGGGAAGGGAAATCATATGTGAAAGGGAGAGATGGCCAGAAAATGGCCAGGAAGGGGCTAAAAAGTAATGGCTATGTCAGGACATGACCCAGAGGGTGAGTGGGAGGCACCTCAGGGGAGAAGAGGGGTGTAGTAAGGCACACCAAGCCACCAGTCAGCTGCAAGGAGGCTTCTAACAAGAGAAGATGGGAGGTGTATTGACATCGGTAGGGGCAATGGTCTTCCACAGAAACAGTCTGCTGGTCCATGGCCTGGCCTTTGTACTCCTAATAGCTTGGAAGAAATTCAGGCCTAAACAAGCAGGCAGGTAAAGCCCTGTAGTTAGAGAAGTGATGGGGAAGGGGCAATCTCAGCGGATGCTGCTGAAGGAAACAGGACTCTACAGGCCTTTCTTTGGCACCCCTCACCACAGTGTCTGGGCTATGCCTAAAACCCTCTGGCTCCTTTGCATGGTCCCTTACACTCGGAGCTGATGTCCAGAGAGGCTGGCAGAGTTCTCCATGCTCGACTGGGGGACGCTGGGCACGCACACAGCTGGGAGGAGGACCCTCACCGCCCCGCTAGGCAGTGTCTGAAGCTCCGAGGAGGTGCTGATGAAGATGGAGATGCTTTCCAGTGGAGGGATCATGCCCAGGTTAACCACAAAAAGGATCCTCTCCAAGTCCTCATCCAGCACAAGCCTTCCTGCACAGAGAGAAGGTCACACAGAGGAATTGCACTGGATACCTGCCAGGGGAGACACTCCTCCCCGCCAAGGTGACCTTGTCTGGGTCTCTCTCCTCCCTCAACAGCCCTTGGAAGTTGTTAAACAACTGCACTAGACAATGCCCAGCAGCATCCCAGTGCAATCAGGTGCATTGCCAAGACATTCAATCATAGCTGCTTGGGACTAAGATCTGCTTTCACCTTTCTTTGTAGCTCCAAAAAAGGCCTGATCCAAAGCCCACTACAGTCAATGAGTGTCTTTCTAAATTCATTTATTTGACTTTCCCCCTAATCATACCCTGTACACTCTCTTTCAGCATCCACTCTCTGTCACTGTGCGACACAGGAGACTGGGCAAGATGGACCTATGGTGTCATCCATAGCAATGGCAGTTATATGTTCTAAGTCATGCAGCCTTCAGAAACAGATGGACTTTCAGGCATACACCATATGAAGAAAGAAATGACCCAGCCTCAGCCCTGTGGTCCAAGCCCTCCTGATGCCACATCGTGAGCAAACCTGATGGCTCCACTGAGATTCCCCTATATCACTAAAACACTGAGCCCCTCCTTACCGCTTCCATCTGGAGTCCTCCCATTGGAGACGTTGCTGCAGTCAAAGTAAGAGTCGTCCATTTTGGATTTGTCTTTGATCTGCACTGTCACAGCACGTCTGGACACAACAGCTTCAAACCCAACCACCGTGGTGTACTCATCCAGTGGGTACACAAAGAGACCTGCCAATGGGAGGAGACACAGCATTAAGGTTCCTTTCTCTGGCAGGAGCCAGATCTGAGGGTGGAAAAAACCCTGGGTCTATAAAAAATGACATTATGGGCTTGGTTCTCAGCTCCAGCACTTTTGCAATTGAAAGGGACAAGCAAGTGCCCAGATCCCCACCTGAGAATTCATCTGATCTGATCCTGGGACAGGGCTCATCTGGCATAAAGCTGGTGCCTGTTTCACAGATTCTCAGCAGTATGGCCCTTGGGGATCAAAGGCAGTGTCTGGAAATTAGAAGAGTCCTTAGGCTTCTCCAACTTATCCTAGCACAAGGGACCTGGGCTGGAGCCGTTGGGTCTTGAGGACTAGCTTCCCAATGGCTCCCAAATAGTTCCCACTGCACAAGAAAATCTGGACCAGAGGTGGGTATTACGGGGAGACATCTAAGGAGGGCTCAGAAGATAAAACCAGTGCCAGGAGTTACCCTTCTCCCATAGTGACCCTGGCACCTGGGGAATACAGCATTTACTCTCTGGACAATGGAACCTCCTTTGGGAACTTACCTTCAAAAGGATGGGCCTCTGGGTTGCCATAGGTCAGAGAGGCTGTCATCCCAAAGGCATAGCCACTGACGCATGAGGTGACCTCGGAGGCTGTGAGCGGGAGCGGGCAGCTGTTTGTCCGGTTGATAAGTCCAGGCATCTTGCTTAGAGTCTATGGGTGGCTCAAGTGTCAGGACCTGCAGCAAACTGGAGACAGGTGGAAGGACATGAGAAACATGAAAGAGCCCTGACAGCTGGAATCCCATATTCCCATCACCTCACATTCACTTCTGCAGCTCTGGGATTGGCTGCAGAGCTACAGCTTGGATTTCCTATTGCCCAGCTACTTGGAGGCATCAGCTATCTTGGACCTCTATCTCCTCATACCCTGCAGTGCCCACAGCCTCACCAAGGGTTTTCAAGATACTTGGATATTCCAGACAACTGTTGGCAGGGCAGCCTGTATCTCAGCATGGATGTGGACTCAGTTTCTAGCAGAAGGTGGAGTTGGAGAGATCTCTGGGCTGAACAAAAGAATCCAGTTGGCAAGCACTGGTTATAGCTTCCTCCTACCGACCTCCTTTTTTTCCTCTCCCTTCATAGCACAGCAGCACAGAGTGGGACAGGTGCTAGTGAGATGCAACCACACCGCCCTTCTGTCCAAAGCTGCACCCACATCCATGGAAGGGCAAATGGGTGGATGACTGGCTTTGACTGGCATGAGTATCTCCATCCTTTGCTTTCCCAAAGCAGGCATTCATCCTTCCAATCTGGGGGAGAGCACCAAGAGAGACAGACAATGGCTCTGTGAGGATCTGCTTCAGCCAGGAGGAAGAATTAATTCCTACTTGACAAGGGAGAATGAATGTCCACGCCAGGGAAGGAAAGGTGAGGCAGCCCAGATCAGTAACACATTTTAAGTCTGCAATGATGGAAAGATGCTGTATGAATACCGGGTATTCTACCCACCACCTAGGAATGCCTTGGAGCTAAATCTGGCTGAAGAATAAAGCCTGAACCAAGCAATGCACTGACATTTCACCATGAGGCTTAAATTGCCCTCCACTGTATCAGTTTGTTTTACCTGGTATTTAGCTTAGCCTGTGTCTGCTTCTTTCCCAGACAAAGCTTGTTCAACATCTCGCCCGACTATACAATTGATCTAAACAAAGATATCACCAAAAGTCCTTGCTTCTTACAAAGTGATAGACAGATAGATATTCTTGTCCACCACCTAACGTATCTCTGTCTCTTAGCAGACACCACCACAACACTGGCCATATTAATTCATCTCTTTATTGTTGTTGCATTTCAGGAAAGTGGAATGCTGCCCCCCCACCCCAGCCCCCCAAACCCTCAGCTCCAATGTCCTGTGCCTCTACTTCCCTCCTGCAAAGTATGACTCACTTTAATAACTCCTTAAGAGAGCTGCTCATATTTTAAGGAGTTGCCTTTACTGGTTCTGTTAATTAAATTTCCCTTGCAACTCTGCTCCCTCCTAACCTGTTCTCTGTTCTAGTTAATCTTCTCCCAGCCTGTCAGCCTGACTGGCAGATGCATTCAGGTAAGGGCCTTGCAGGGGGTTTCTGTCCTCAGACATCTCCCAGGGGTTCCCAGGGGTAGCTTCTGTCTAGCTGCTCCTCTGCTGGCTCCGGATGCTTTAAACCAGACTTTACAAGATCCATAAGGCGGGGGCAGCAATGAAAAACATCATCTGTCTCTCATTTCCTGCCAGCCCTGTGTTATTAAAACCACCTCTAAATGCAAATGTCCTAGAAAGGGCACACAACAGTCATCAAGACTCATTCCTTGCTGTGGAAAAGCAGCAGCAGCAGCCGATCAACTTAAGAGGCTAAAACAAGTTAGCACAGTGAGAAGGGCCAGCAAAGAATATAAGAGGGAGGAACCCGATCAACTTAAGAGGCTAAAACAAGTTAGCAAAGTGAGAAGGGCCAGCAAAGACTATAAGAGGGAGGAACAGAACCTAAGAGTCCAGTGAGGCTGGGAGTCAGGGCCAGTGGCTATGGGATCCCAAGGGTTGCTGGGACTTTAACCAGACTGGATAATTGCTATGGATGGAAGAC